TCCTAGCCAGTACCAGTGTAGCTCTACCCCGAGCACACCTACGGCGGACGGCAGAAAGGGCCCAAAGGGACGATGAATGGGGATTGGAAGCATTGGAGGAGGCAATTCGAACAGGAGAAGGATAGCAGGAAGGGTAGCCTAAGCTGGAGTCAGCCTAGGCCGCACCCATTCCGCACGAAACACAAGGAGAGCACTGTGCTCGAAAGCCCTGCGCAAACAGGCGGTCTGGGGCGAGGAAAAGGATCAGAAAGAGTATGGAAGGGGGCTAGTGCCCCAGGAACTTATAGGGATAAGAGACTGTAGAATAGCTAACGGCCTCAAGTCCACGGATAATGGTCTGTCATAGCTCTAGGGCTCGGTATGGACAATAAACTTGATTAAATAAATAATAAGATATTTTGACGGGGGTAAACGCACAATCAAAGACACCTGAAAAACCGACAGTCTTCATTTACTCGGGTGCTTCCAATGTTGGGCTCTTTGCAATTCAACTTGCCAAAAGGGCAGGTCTGCAGGTGGTTGTGACCGCATCACCACGGTCCTTTGATCTCGCCAAGCGCTATGGTGCAGATTCCGTGTTCGACTACCAATCGCCAACCGCGATAGCTGAAATCTCTGAAGCTTATACCAATATAACCAGAGCCGTAGACTGCTTTTCCGAAGGGAACTCGTCTGAATTCTGTGCTCAGGTGTTGAAGAAGGGTCGAGTTATAACATTGCTTGATCAGGGGAAACCAAAGAAACCGAGTGTCGAGTATAAATTCCTCATGGTTTTCACAGCATTTGACCGTCAATTTTCCTGGTTGGCACCCTTGGGCCCAGTATTTCCTGTTGTGTCCAATGATCGCGAGGTTCTTCGTCAACTTTACGCCAACCTAGACCGACTGTCTCTGAGACCACCATCTGTCACAACAATGGGGGGAGGATTTGACGGAATATTGGAGGGCCTTGACAAACTTCGCAAAGGAGAAGTTCGGGGCACTAAACTTGTTGTAGAGCTTTCATGATTGATGTCCACTTGTAATATTAGAACCTTGCTGTGTTCTCAAATAAGTGTTTTGTCTCTCTCTGGTGAAGAATATAGAACACAGAACTGGGCGTGTAATAACTATAGATCAGCAACCAAGTCCGAGATGTCCTCAACAACACCCAGCATCAAGGCACAGATATGCTGATTGGCGCAAAGTCCAAATTCCAGAGTCATGTGCGAGCCTTCCCATATGTACTTCTCCGTCTTACAAGCTACGAACAATGTGGCCGTGAGCGACAAGGGCATTACAAAGCTCCAGGAGTCCGCATCCATAAACGCCTTCTTGACGGCTCGAAGTATGACATATCATTCTTCGTAAAACTAGCTAATCAATAACATTCAAGCTTAGCTACTTACAATATCTTTAATCTATAAATATTGGCGCTGGGCTATTTAGATGCAATGAAGGCTTCCGCGATAAATTCCAGAGCTCTGTTGTATGCCTCCGTGGGGCCCTTCGCCGGCGTCAGCGGGAATCCAGAACTGAAGTCAACGAGACCATGACCGTCATCTTCTACAAGCAGCAGCGCTGTTTTGATGCCTAAATTCTTCAGTTGCTCATATTGCTCCACACTTTCTTCGGCAGGAATGACTTCGTCTGCTGTGCCATGCACAAAGACAGAAGGGGGGTGATTTTCTGTCGCAAATAATTGCAGAAATCCCAGCTTGATATCCTTGGGTATAGCTGCAGGTCATTGTGCATACTCAATTTCGTTGAACATCTTACCAAGCCCGGGCTTTCCAAAGCACCCGTCTAGGAAGGTGCCATTGAGTTCCCAACGCACAGTAAGTGCAAAATGTTCAGAGAGGAAGTCACTGCCTGGCAAATCGTCACTCACAACGGTCTTACCGCGATTAGTTTTGGAACGCTTTCGAGATCCACAAACTTGGCTATAGACGTTGGGGGTCGGCCCATCGCCCAATGGTCAAGAAGGAGGTTGCCACCAGTGCCATAGACAGTCATCAGGACAGCTGGTTTTGGAAGCATCCTGCAAGAAAGTTGAAGAGAGACTTCGCATTGTCAATCTAGTCGAGAGCGGTGCTTGGATAACAGCCTATAGTCTGCCGATATGAATATGTACTCATGTCGTTGACAATGATCTATATTACCGGATATCAGCCTTGCAACGACTACGAGTCCTGAGCCCATGATGCTCAAAACATACTGTATAACCATTGCGGAAACGCTCTGTCGCGTCGTCAACCAGATGTCATTCCACCGCCATGATAGTAAATCAACGCCGGTAAGCTTCCGTTGGCCGTAGGTGGTAGATAGTAGTCCAGTTTGATATCATGGTTGTCAACGGTAGAATAAACAAGCGTTCGGCGTCCCTCCAGTAAGGATGCCACGACCGTGGTTCAGTGATCGACATATCTCAGACGCGGTGCTACAGCAGCAATCAATTGCTATCCAGCAATCAACTCGACTTGAGCGTAGAATGTGGCTCGACGGATGACGGGTTCAATTAAATAGGATAAGCTGTTCAGTGCCTAAGTGTTATTCCGCCTACTCCGCACAGTGAGTCCCAGAGTAATCAAGAGGACAGCCAATGGTTAGTGGCTGTAGCATGCTAGTGGATTACAAGGATTTCAAAGGATTGAAATTGCGCGGCACTGCGCGATGTTGGGTGATGGCTCACCCTCTCTATAGCGCACTCACCCAGGCTCACCCCTGGTCGCGCGACCAAAAAACGGCATCACCTTCTAACTCACCCGAGAAGCACCCACTGAACGATTGTCTGCAGTTAAACCACACGCCGGCCGGTTAGTAGTTGGGTGGGTGACCACCAGCGAACCCCGGCTGTTGTATGTTTTTTGTTTTTGCTGAACGAACTCGCGTAGCGAGTGAGGCGGGATGAGATTCGGTAGAAAACTATTTTTGGATTCGGAGTGGGTGTTTGCATAACTATTTTCATCGTATTAATATAGTATCTGTCTTATCTAGTACCCTGAGTGTATCGGATCTAAACTATTCGGATTTCTGCCGGCTGAGCTGTTCATTCTGTTGTTTTTGATAAAGATAAGAGCGTAGGGTTTACTCTCAACAATACGAGAGTACGAAGGGTAAATAGGGAACTAGTATCAAACTGCGTTGGAGATGATTGCCTGTTGGTGCCGAGCTTTTGGTACTATGTATTAGCGTAACAATGAATTATATGCATAGATTGCCCAAATATTGTAGGAAAACCCCTTTTCGTACAAGTATGATGGCAGCTGAGGCCGCTCTGATCTTTTTAAGATGCAACTTTGGGGTTAAAGCTGGAACTTTCCAGATGTACAACCTCGTCAGGCGTTGTAACTATAATTGATATTATTGGTGGAGGGGCTTCCCCGTAACGTCCTTGGATTAACTAGTTAACTAGTTAATCGGTGGTCTCTGACATAACTACCAATTAAAATGGTATATTCACCTCCGTAAAAATTGAAGATGATTCGTATTTTGTATAGTTAGTCGTACTGAGGTCGACTGGCTAGGGAGGGGTCGAGCCGAAAGAGCAGGTAGCACTAGGAACGTATAGAAATCCGGGAAACTTTTTGATTCGTTTTCGTATTCATCTTTTGGAATGTTGAAACTTGAATACGAGTACGTTTTGGTGCGGGTTTAATCGCTGAAACACCCTTTTCCAACGGAGGGTATAACTAGGCTGGATCCGTGGGTCGGGACTCGGGAATAACCTTGGCGGAGCTCAAATGGTGGGAGTAAATCATATTTGTTAGATGACCACTCGTCTTCAGTCTGCTGTGAGAAGCCCAGATTTGGATAGGGATATCAGGGTGCCAATTGAATGTTGGTGGTCGAATTTCGTGAGAATCTATTGATTATTGCACGTTTTGGCCACCATCCAAATCCTGCACGCCTTGGGTTCCAGAATGCAGCATGATATTTGAGACCATGAAACTAGTCCCCTTGAACCGAGCTCTCAGCCGCGTCGTCCTGCGGGACAGAAGCAGATATTCTCAGATCTACAGCTCGTGGCTAGTATATTACGCGTTTTGCAGTGCAATCGGTGGCCAGCGCCACAATCCGGACCACTATCGTGATAGGGGTCCTTTCTACTTTATTTCAGTGCAAGTACTAGCAGATGGTCCCCTCTACCCCACCATGGTATAAAAGGGGACTATAAAATCACCATGATGACCTTTTTTTTTTTTTTTTTTTTTTGAGTTGGCCATACTTGTTATCTCATCTTCCTTGCCACTTGTCTCTAATGAACAATTCACTCATCCCGGCTAGGGCCAAAAAGAATGAGCTGCACAGAAGAGAAATTGAGGGCATGATTGCTGATGGTCAGTCCATCATCATCCTCAACACCAAGGTGCTGAGACTTGACGCCTGGATCAAATTCCACCCGGGAGGAGAATTGGCAATCAAACACATGGTAGGGAGAGATGCCACAGATGAAGTGAACGCGTGAGTCTGTTCCTGAACTATACCCATTACTCACCAGGGAGGTCATAGCTAATCATCCCAGGCTGCATTCAAAGGAGGCCCGACAGCGCATGGATGCATTCCAGATCGGTTCCATCGCTGGAAGATGGGCTAACTTCGTCCCGCCCACCCAAGGAGGTCGTTTCAGACGTTACAATTGCGAGGAGGATGGCGAAGAAGCAGATGACTTGGAATCGGAGATCTCCAGCGAGTTGAGTCCACACGAAACACCTGGGTTGAGACGTCGAAAGTCGACGTCTACAATATCCTCGGCCCTCAGCTCGACTCCTCCTCTACCGAGCTCAAGCTCTGAGCTGCCACGCTCGTGTGTTCTGGACGCTCGTACGCAAAAGGAAATCATGCTCGACAAGGTCAATTATCCTCCTGTGGACGCAAAACACCAAGATAACATCACACAAAAATACCGTGCGCTCAACAAGCGTATCCAAAAAGAGGGACTGTACAACTGCAACTACTTTGCGTATGCAGTCGAAACATTCCGGTATTCCATACTCTTTGCGCTCTTCATCTTTTGTCTACGCCACTCGTGCTTTGGATTCGCCGGCCTGTTCCTCGGCTGTTTCTGGCACCAGCTTGTATTCACGGCCCATGATGCCGGTCACATGGGTATCACGCACGACTTCCAGACTGATACCTGTATCGGTATTGTCATCGCAGACTTCATTGGAGGGCTGAGTTTGGGCTGGTGGAAACGCAGCCACAATGTCCACCATATCGTGACCAACTCACCCGAACACGACCCTGATATCGAACTTATGCCATTCTTCGCCTTGTCGCACCGCTTCTTCAACAGTCTTCGCAGCACCTACTATGACCGGGTGATGGAATACGACGCCGTGGCCCGATGTGTAGTCAAATATCAGAATTATCTCTACTACCCGATTCTTCTCTTTGGCCGTTTCAACTTGTACTATCTAAGCTGGGAGCACATCGTTCTCGGCCTGAGTGGTGCTGGAAAAGGGCGTGGTGGGGTAAAATGGCACAGCTGGCTGGAGCTGGCCGGCCAGATCTTCTTCTGGGTCTGGTTCGGCTACGGCGTCTGCTATCTCAGCATTCCAACATTGCGCGATCGCGTCCTTTTCATTCTCATCTCACACGTTGTCACCTCGCCGCTGCATGTTCAGATCACACTCTCACACTATGCCATGTCAACAGCGGACCTAGGTGTCCACGAATCATTTGCGCAAAAGATGCTGCGCACAACTATGGATGTCGACTGTCCAACCTGGCTGGACTTTTTCCATGGCGGCTTGCAGTTCCAGGCCATCCATCACTTATTCCCGCGGATTCCCCGCCACAATCTACGGAAGACCCAACATCTCGTCAAGGAGTTTTGTGAAGACGTGCAGATCCCATATGCAGTCTTCACCTTTGTGGATGGGAATAAGAAGGTCATTAGTAGACTGGGGGATATTGCTAAGCAAGCGAAGATCCTTGAGGAGTGTCAGAAGGCGTGCGCTTCGCATGGGGTCTTTTCTGACCACCACACACACTAAAGAGGAGCTACAGAATGCTCTAATGTTGCATATCCCCCTACATAGATTTAGATTTATATCGAACCGCCTTAGATACTTAGAGTAGAATTATCAATCACTTATTCCACAATAAATTCTCGTAAGATAGTACTATCAATATATCAGCCTTTCTTTATCCGAATGATACACCAATACCAGTGAAATCAACTTGCCAGGATCTTATCATGAGTATTGCCAGGCCCCATTGCTTGAGACTTTAAACAATAGTGCATCCGTCGTCTTTTTCACAATATATCTACAGTGGAGTAACAAACCCATCCACGAGAGTTGGAATTTCGGAAATGGGGAAGCGAGAATAGATATACGAGCAAGCCCGATTTAAATTCAGTCACTCTTTCTGTATACCATGCTGCATCACACCACTTTGCCGTCAATTGAAGCAGTGTTCTGCACCAAGATGTAGCAAATTAGAATACTGCTGTGCCCGGAAATGAGAAATATTTCAGTATATTTATCATAAAAAACCCTCGATTATGATATGTAAGCTGGTGATAAGCAATCTAAAATTTGATCTTTGATGTAATCGTGTAGTATAGGCTTAGGGCGAATCCGTCTATCATAGTAAAGTCAATTGAGCCGTAAGACCTTTTATTAGATTTTGTCACGAAGCAGGGATGCTCGCGAGCCGTATAGCATGTTTGATTACTTTGGCCTGTTTGGCGTAGGACATTCACTGAACATTCGCTTAAACCCATCACACACACTAGATAGCTCATCGCCGGCAGGCCTGTCTCTTTTCTTTCTCTCCTCATGTTAGAATTTCGTCAGATAGTCTACCAATAGATTCATATTGCTCGAGACCGTCACAGATTTAGTCTCACAGCCACAAAGGAAACATTTAAGTCATCATGTCTTCCCACTTAACAAAACAATTTATTGCTCATGGTTAAAAGCAGGTTTCCCTCTGGATGACAACAATTACAGTCAAAAGAACCAAGTGAAAAGAAGAAAGGGAATCTATCTACAGGAAAAGGGGTTTTTATCCATGACCTCTGTGACCGTGCTAAGTGCTTTCTTTATTTACTTGCACAATGGCGTTTGCCGGTATCAGCCACTGAGGCGGCATTGAGGCGTTGAGTCATCACATTCATAAGAACCAGGAACTAGCTGTGTGCACCTGAGTAGTGTCACGGTGCCGGGTGAAGCGGGGTCTCTCGGATCGTAGCTCAGAGGGGAAATCGGGAGTCGATTATTCCGGACTAACGAGGTCTATATGGAGAGGACTAGCTGGACGAAAGAGGTATATTGCCTAACGAACGTATGTGCATGTACGCAGCTGATTGAGTGCTTGTCTATCTAAATGTACGCTCACACTGGCTCACGCTGGCCTATAACATCGGACCGGCGGAACTAATCAGCCCGACATTATTCCTTGATGAAAGTCAAGGTGGATTAATAGTTGGTCCGATTACCGAGGCCGACAGACCTCTCATATACGGACACACACACATTCGGTTTAGATAGCTAAGCACTCGTTCCATCACCCTTGTGACTATAGAGATCAATGTCATCCTCCTTGTGTAATTAAAATTCGTCGCCTACAGCCTCGTGCAGTCCGGATAATCGACTCCCCCGACTTCCCCGATACGGAGTTTTAACCGCTACATTGGTTTACCCGTTTCACTTCTAACTCCACTCGCAACAGCGGTCCCAACGGACCGCCGCTGACCAGATGAGCCACCAGACCGTTCTTCCATAGTGTCTATTGGACTGGTTGCTTTGGCCTCTTCGTTGCTTTTCTCAGGTTTCTGGAACTATTATGCTGCCCGAGGTAACTGGTTCTCTTGGGCCTGACGAGAGGGAACCCTGTTGACCCTCTTTCTTTCTTTCTATCTCCTGCTCTCTTTGCCTCTGGCCATTGCGGGAAGGGACAGGAACACAGTTCCAAAACCCTGATTGAGGCTGTGTCTGGATTGCTGCCTATCCATCGCTACAAATCCAGCGCGCCTGGCCAATTGAGCGGCCAAGCGGCCTACTGCGCATGCAGTCTATTACCCAACAAGAGCGTTTCCCTGCACGCTAGTTATGGTTCTCTGGTCTCAATTCCAGGTTGCATCCCACTGCGACGGCCAATGGTATAAATGCCTCATAGGATTTTGCAGCGTTGTTGGGGAATAGTGAGGCGGAGCTCACAGCCAGCGTTGACTCAACGCACGACCTCGGCCTCTCCGATGCCGCCGAATGTGCCTCGTGTGATCACCACCAATGAATCTGTTGTGTCAGTGCAGAATGGCAGGATTTGGGATCACAGGATCATATGGATTCGTTGGGAGTCGTTCTAGCCAATGGGTCACCTATGTGGTGAGACTCAGTGTTCCGTGGGGGTCTGGTCGTTTCCCAGCGGCTGATCCCAGCGGCTGGCGAAATGAAGGGACCCAGGGGGAGAGTTCGGAGGAATTGCATACGTGTGATGTGCAATTGTCTGAATGTGACCCCAACCAACCTTGGCACTACCTGGTTGGATTATAGGCAGAGTCAGTCAACAGTTGCACCACATTGCAAGACATGCTGCAAAGTTTCATTCCTCTCGTAAATAGCTAGACACATTTCCGGACTTTGGGTCAATGGAAATCCATACCAGCAGCACACTATCTGATCCTGTCAGTCCCTTTCTCATCCTTCCCACTTGATTCACTTGCTCGTCATCAGGAGATATGTTTGTCAGCCTTGACCAAATAGAATTCTATCATGGCCCTCCCCGTCAACAGTTCAAGAAGAGAATGTTGTCCCCAGCAAGAAGAAAGCAGTCCTCCACCTTTGCTGTCACCGAACCCATTCACTGTTCCGTTCCTACTGAGTCCGTCTTCACTCCCGGATTTCACACCTCTGCTATTCCGCCCAACGGGCCAGGCGTACTGCACTTCAACCTTGTGATAAGCCCTCAACCAGTATCAGTGAAGGTCGAAACATGCCTTCATCCATCAACCTAGGGAGAGCGAGCTTTGGGGTGAGAAATTGAGTAGAGACTTCATAGGCTTTTGTGCATAGCTTGCTGTCATCTACCCTTTGAGCAGATGATGTGGAGGAAGGTGCACAAGTTGCGAAGTCTGGAACCTCATCTGCATACCAGAAAGCTGGCTCTATGCTGGATGACTGCCAATTAATAATACCAGTTATTACCGAAGGATCATGATCCGAAACAAATATGTTCCTCATATGTAGGTCGGGATGAAACAAGGTTGGTGCAGCTGCATCATGAACTTGACTATCCACGGACATTGCATTTAGCACTGTACGACCACATTCAAGAAGGTCTAAATGTGTCTGAACTGAGCCATGATAGAATGGTTGGTTTGGGAGCTGAGAGTCTCTCAGTGGAATCCTTGAAAGACCTGCGTCGACAAGGCCATCGGAATATGCACCTATTGTCAACCCTGTATCCCCAAGTATTAGCCCTCATGTTCTCAAGAATGGAGATTAGGACGGACTCACACGGGCCTTGATTGGAAACTCTATGCTGGTAGTACCTGCGGTCGCCACAATCCCGAATCTGGGCTTCCAAGGGAGCACCGGGTAGAGCAACAATGTTCCCGGCGAGGGAGAGAAAAGAAATGAAGAATATAGAGAGCTTCATGTTCACTGATCAATTCTGTGTTTGAGATCTAGGACTTGGATGTTTCCTTCCCTTCTTCAAGGGATGCCGGGCTGCTTTAAGCACTGCATGCTTCGACAATATGTTGAATTTACAGGCCTGTTCATTTTTATCCCGAGAACTCAAATGAATCCTTTGGGGCTTTCCTAAGGTGAGGGATTTTTGCTGGGCGTAAGCAGGATGTATGCATGTCTAAACATTGGAGAACATCTTTGGTAGAGTATCATGACAAGGCTAGGAGAGAGCCTTGTATGATCCTTTTTTGGCCCCCAAAGGAATGGGAAATTTGGAATCAGATGCCTCATAGCCCCGCGCACCCAATGCATTATAATGTAATGACTTCAGACAGCAATACAACATGAATATTTCTTTTCACTCTTGGCTTGATGGATTCTGTATTCCATCAGCGGAGCACCTACCCAAGGCATTTCGCCTACACCAACATCAATCAGTCAAAATGGTCTCCCCCTCCTGGTTCAAAGCAGTCTCCTCTCCCGACAATGAAGACTGCCACCCGCACTCGGCCCAGGCCCTAAAAGCCTTCCATGAAGGCAAAACCACCACGCACGAAGCAGCATCCGCAATCACCCACCCAATAGCCACCTCCCCCTCCAACCATCTCGATGTCGAAAGGAACGGCCTCTGGAGTCTGCTAATCAGCGCATTAATGGACTGGCCGCGGTCAGAAACCCCAGCGCTTCTGCAGCTTCTGAAAGCGATCCAGCAGGTTCCGGATCCAGCGATTAGAGAGGAAGCGAAGTTGTCTGTGGGAAATGGGCCGTTCTGGGATGGACTGCCTGGGTTTGGGCATATGTGGGCGGATGATTTTGAACGGAGAAAGATGCTGCGACTGTGTGCGGGACAAAATGGCCATGAAAATAACCGCAGAGAGCTACGTGAGAAATATGTCCATGTAGCAGGACTAGAGGCAACCTTCTGCGACCAACAAATCGGGGGAATCAATCTGAAATGGGGCTACGAGCGCATCACAGATGCCCTGGAACGGGGCGATGCCATTTGCGATATCGAAGTTCTCATGGCCGCTGAGTGGCTTAGAAGTCTCCCGCACCGGATCTACAAGGGCGCATTGGAACAAGAAGAGGGCTGGCCATTGAAGAGGGATCTGGATCTGTGGACGGGAGATGTCATGACTGTGGAACGATGGCAGTGGTGGAAGAACCGGCAGGAGGAGTACGTGCGAGAGGGATTGCCGGGGGCAGATTCGGTTTGGGCGACTGTTCAGGCAATGGATGCTGTGGAATGAAGTGGATATCTGTTGGTTTCTGTATATACCTTTGCTGCCTGATTTGATTTTAAAATCCAGCCCTGTTTGCCCCCCCCCC